GCAGTCTTCATTACATAGGCATGATTGATTAGTGTGTGTAAGTAGCTCAGTTGTGTCCAAGTCTTTGTGACCCCATGGACTGTAGCCGCCCAGCTCCTCTGTCCATGGAATTCTCCAGACATGAATACTGAAGTGGGTTGCCATTTCATTCTCCAGGGGATCTTCCTGACCCAGGGATCGAATCTGGGTCCCCCACATTGCAGGCAGATTCTTTACCATCTGAACCACCAGAGAAGCCCACTCATTGGTCATTGGTGGTTAATTCAGCCTCTCTCCTCTCCAGAGGTGGAGGGAAGAGCTTAGTTCCAACCTTCAAAGCACTTGGTTGGTTTTCCTGGATTCCAGTGCCCATCCTTATGGGCTTTCTAAAAGACACCTACCTCACTAATTTTAAAGGGGCTTGCTATGATTAACGAAAGACATACATTTCATTTTTATCCTTCTGGAGCTATTTCAGGAACTGGGAATAAAACTAAGTGCTGTAATAAAATTTATTCCCCAACCAGTAATACTGAAGAAGCTAAAGTTGAATGGTTCTATGAAGGCCTACAAGACCTTCTAGAACTAACACCCTTAAAAGATGTCCTTTTCATTACAGAGGACTGAAATGCAGAAGTAGGAACTCAGAAAATACCTGGAGTAACAGGCACCTTTGGCCTAAAAGTACAAAATGAAGCAGGGCAAAGGCTAATAAGAGTTTTGCCAAGAGAACGCACTGGTCATAGCAAACACCCTCTTCCAGCAACACAAGAGAAGACTCTACACATGGACATCACCACATGGTCATTACCAAAATCAGATTGATTATATTCTTTGCAGCCAAAGATGGAGAAGCTCTATACAGTCAGCAAAAACAAGACCAGGAGCTGACTGTGACTCAGATCATGAAGTCCTTATTGCAAAATTCAGACTTAAATTGAAGACTGTAGGGAAAACCACTAGACCGTTCAGGTATGACCTAAGTCAAATCCCTTATGATTATACAGTGGAAGTGAGAAAAAGATGCCAGGGATTAGATCTGATAGACAGGGTGCCTGAAGAACTATGGATGGAGATTTGTGACATTATACAGGAGGCAGTGATCAAGACCATCCTCAAGAAAAAGAAATGGAAAAAGGCAAGATGATTGTCTGAGGAGGCCTTACAAATAGCTGTGAAAAGAAGGGAAGCCAAAGACAAAGGAGAAAAGGAAAGATATACCCATTTGAATGCAGAGTTCCAAAGAATAGCCAGGAGAGATAAGAAAGCCTTCCTCAGTGATCAATGCAAAGAAATAGAGGAAAACAATAGAATGGGAAAGAAAATTAGAGATACCAAGGGAACATTTCATGCAAAGATGGGCACAATAAAGGACAGAAATGGTATGGACCTAACAGAAGCAGAACATATTAAGAACAGGTGGCAAGAATACACAGAAGAATGATATAAAAAAGATCTTCATGACCCAGATAACCAAAATGGTGTGATCACTCACCTGGAGCCGGACATCTGGAAAGGGAAGTCAAATGGGCCATAGGACATCACTATGAACAAAGCTAGTGGAAGTGATGGAATTCCAGTTAAGCTATTTCAAATCCTAAAAGATGATGCTGTGAAAGTGCTGCACTCATTATGCTGGCAAATTTGGAAAACTCAGCAGTGGCCACAGGACTGGAAAAGGTCAGTTTTCATTCCAATCCCAAAGACAGGCAATGCCAAAGAATGCTCAAACTATCACACAGTTCCACTCATCTCACATGCTAGCAAAGTAATGCTCAAAATTCTCCAAGCCAGGCTTCAGTAGTACATGAACCATGAACTTCCAGATGTTCAAGCTGGATTTAGAAAAGGCAGAGGACCCAGAGATCAAATTGCCAACATCCATTGGATCATTGAAAAAGCAAGAGAGTTCCAGAAAGACATCTACTTCTGCTTTATTGACTATGCCAAAGCCTTTGACTGTGTGGATCACAACAAACTGGAAAATTCCAGACCACCTGACCTGCCTCCTGAGAAATCTGTATGCAGGTCAAGAAGCCCCAGTTAGAACTGGACACAGAACAACAGACTCGTTCCAAATCGGGAAGGGAGTACCTCAAGCCTGTATATTGTCACCCAGCTTATTTAACTTATATGCAGAGTACATCATGCGAAATGCCAGGCTGGATGAAGCACAAGCTGGAATCAAGATTGCCGGGGGAAATATCAATAACCTCAGATATGCAGATGACACCACCCTTATGGCAGAAAGTGAAGAGGAACTAAAAAGCCTCTTGATGAAAGTGAAAGAGGAGAGTGAAAAAGTTGGCTTAAAGCTCAACATTCAGAAGACGAAGATCATGGCATCTGGTCTCATCACTTCATGGGACATAGATGGGGAAACAGTGGAAACAGTATCAGACTTTATTTTGGGGGGCTCCAAAATCACTGCAGATGGTGATTGCAGCCATGAAATTAAAAGACCCTTGCTCCTTGGAAGAAAAGTTATAACCAACCTAGATAGCATATTAAAAAGCAGAGACATTACTTTGCCAACAAAGGTCCATCTAGTCAAAGCTATGGCTTTTCCAGTAGTCATGTTTAGATGTGAGAGTTGGACCATAGTGAAGGCTGAGTGCCAAAGAATTGATGCTTTTGAACTGTGGTGTTGGAGAAGACTCTGGAGAGTCCCTTGGACTGCAAGGAGATCCAACCAGTCCATCCTAAAGGAGATCAGTCCTGCATATTCATTGGAAGGACTGATGCTGAAGCTGAAACTCCAATACTTTGGCCACCTGATGTGAAGAACTGACTCATTGGAAAAGACCCTGATGCTGGGAAAGATTGAAGGCAGGAGGAAAAGGGGATGACAGACGATGAGATGGTTGGATGGCATCACTGACTCGATGGACATGAGTTTGAGCAAGCTCTGGGAGTTGGTGATGGACAGGGAAGCCTGTCGTGCTGCAGTCCATGGGGTTGCAAAGAATCAGAAATGACTGAGCAACTGAACTGAACTGAACTGAACTGTAATAAAAGATATCCTATGGCTTTTACATAGGAAGTTAGAAGGGTTTTGGAATCTATGTGCTGGGAATGGTGTACAAAATTCATATTATAAATCACCATGTCACAACACCCCTGTCACTTCCCTGGTGGCTCAGCGGTAAAGAATCCGCCTGCCAATCCAGAAGACAGGGGTTCAATCCCTGATCCAGGAAGATCCCATGTGCCTTGGCACAGCTGAGCCGTGTGCCACAACCACTGGGGCTGAGCTCTAGAGTCCGGGAGCTGCAAGTACTGAACCCACATGCTTAAGAACCCAAACTCTGCCACAAGGGAAGCCACTGTCGTGAGAAGCCCAGGCATAGCAACTAGAGAGTAGCCCTCTCTTCCCTCAACTAGAAAAGGCCCGCGCAGCAACGAAGAACTGGCACAGCCAAAACTAAAATTAATTAAAAAAAAAAACAACACCCCTGTCAAAAATCAGTTGCCTATAAATGTGTGTTCAGTTCAGTTTCATTGATCCATACATCTGTCCTTATGCCAGTACCACACAGTGTTGATGGCTGTAGCTTTGTAGGAAGTTAAGAATTCAGAAAATGTGAATCCTCCAAATTTGTTCTGTTTAAAGATTGTTTTGGCTATCCTAGCATTTCTATTTGAATTTGAGGATTGGTTTGTCAATTTTTGCAGAAAACTAGCTGAATTTTGATAGGTGTTGCACTGAATCCATAGATTAATTCAAAGAGCATTGCCATTTTAAAAATATTAAATTATCAATAGAATGTGTTTCCATTTGTTTAATTGCTTTCAGCATTGTTTTGTAGCTTTCAGCATATAAGACTTGTGCTTTTTGTGAAATATCAAGATATTCCTAAGTATTTTATTTTCTTGATGCTGTTGTAAATGGAGTTATTTTCTAATTTAATTTTGGATTGTTTGTGATTTTTGCACACTGATCTTCTCTTTTGTAACTTTGCTGAACTTGTTTAGCAAACAGCTTAGGGATGAATTTCCAACAATTTTCTATGTATATGTTTGCTATTTGTAGTTGAAGATAGCTTTACTTATTCCTTTCCAGTCCAGCTATTTCTTTTTCTTGCTTAGCTGCTCTGGCTAGAATCTCCATTTAAATGTTGAACAGAAGTGGTAAGAGCAGACAGATATCCTTGCTGATCTTAGGAAGAAAGTTTTCAGTTGTTTACCATTAAGTCTGATGTTAGCTGTGGGTTTTTCATATGTATGCTTTATCAGGTTGAGAATGTTTCCCTCCATTCCTAGTTTGCTGAAAGTTTTATTATGACAGGGTGTTGGATTTTGTCAATATACAGTTTTAGGGGACATAAACATTCACAGTAGAGCATATGGTGTATAACGTTGATTTTCATATGTTTAATTACCGTTGCATTCCTAACATAAAGCCCAGTTGGTCATGATGTATAATTCATTTTATATGTTGTTGGATTCACTTTGCTATTATGTTGAAGATTTTTTCTCTACATTAATAAGAGATACTGGTCTGTAGTTTTCTTGTGATGTCTTTGTCTCCTTTTGAGTCAGGATAGTACTGGCTTCACATAATGAGTTAAGTGTTCTGTCTTATATTTTTTGGAAAAGTTTATAAAGGATTGCCATTAATTAATTTTCTTTCATTTGGTAATGTTCACCAGGGAGGCCACCTGGTCCTGTGTCCTTCTTTGTGAGAAGTTTTTGAATACTAATTCAATTTCTTGTTATTTGTCTATTCAGATACTCTTTCTTCTTAAATTAAGTTTCATAGTGTGTGTCCTTCCTAGGAATTGTCCATTTCATTTAGGTTATATAATTTGTTGGCAATTATACATTCCTTTTTAACATTTTTTTTTATAAACTACTTTTCAAACTTCCTGATATTTTAGATGGACCTTTCTTTAGTTAGTGTAGTTTAAGAAGATTTTCCAACTATGTGGCTATTATCTATGAAAGCCACACATTGGGAAACTAGGTTTTAAGAATAACCAACATTATTTTTATTAATATTTTGCATTTTTGTCTTTTAGGGTTGTATACTCATCAAACAGAAATATAAAAAACTACGAAGAAGAAATTCTTAGGAAAAAGATAGTGGAAAGTGGAGTACCACAAAAGAAATGTGACTTCAGTGTCGGAAATTGTACTGACAATGATAGAAGGTTATCTGTAGAGTTCTTAAGTAAAAGATCATCTGATAATTCTCTTCTGAAACATGAAATTCCAAAAGATATCAACAGCAAAGAGGAAAATGTAATTTCTACTGGTGAGGTATTTTTGTGGATTTTTATAAAATTTTATAGCCATGAAAGTAATTATATTCTAAACACTTAGAGAAAAACATATTTCAAAAGTCATCTCTATTGAACTTTTTTTATAAGTAGATGAAAGTCAGTATAAATGAAAGTAAATAATTTATGAGTAAATGGAAATAATAATATGGCCTACTCCCATTTTTCCCAAGTAGTTAGAGATAAAGTTATTATTAATAAATATAGACATAATTCACAATTTTCCTTATAAGCTTCTATATATTTTCATTCTTATTCTAATCTACACCAGCAAAAGCTTTAGCAAACTGTAGAATCAGTTCTAACACAATATATGCATTCCTTAAAAAACCTGCACACAAAAATCACCAATACATTTTGTCATGACATAAAGTCACTGAAACTTTTGTCATGACACATTTTTAAAAGATAGGAACCTAATAACAGTGGCATAGTTCTATCCATATTAAATGGTTTAGCAGTACATAAATACTACAATAAATATGGCATTTGACCTTGAAAAAGAGCTCTAGTTTGTTTGTAGAAGTGGGTGTCAAAAGGGTTGCAGCTTGTGAATTACTATGATTTGGTGAAAGGAGGATGTTAAGGGTGTAGATATAGATACAGTAGATATTCCAACAGGAGACTCAAGAGCCTTGAATAAGAGAACAAACTGTTTATTACTTACAGAGCATCTCAGAACCACTTCCCAACCCTCAGTCCCCATGAGGGCTTAATGTTACCTGCCGTCCACATGCAATGGGGTTGCACCATAGGAGGGGAACACCAACTTCATGAGACTTTTATAGGCTGCTGGCAGACCTGCTCATCCACCTCCACAGAGGGAGGGACCTTTTCTTTGAATGGTAGATAAATCTTCTCTGGTGAAGGGAAGGTAGGAGTGTCAGGAGATGATTTTGAGGAGAGGATAGTCTCTGAATCTTTCTGGAGCATCTCATTATCTCTAACTTCCAAGATGTGTTTCTCGTTTAATCGCCCTTTATCCAAATTTGCCAGTGCTCTGCTCAGAACGGACAGACCATACAAAAACACAAAAATATTCATAGAAAATGGTCTCCAAGCAGTTGTTATCTGAAATCAGATGGAAATTTGTAACACCAGAAATGAGTAGGCATGGGTGAACTGAGGTTTCTGTAGGTGTTTTAGGTATTTATGTTTTATGTATATTCTTTCCTGGCTCAGTCCAACTGGGTACAGTTCCTTGCATTGACTTAGTATTTCTCATGGATTACCTTTCACCTAAGGAAAGGAAAAATTCCCATTATGCAAAAATTGTTCCCTAATATGTCAGTTGTGTTGGATCAAACTCATTTTCAAAACATGTGTTATAGTTGAATTGACTGTACGTGATAGTATCTGCTAACTAAAGGATTTTTATTACTGATGTTTAGTGCAGCAACAATAAAAAGAAGCAAACAGGTTTAAGCTCAGCTAGCTTTCTCTTATATATGTTCACCATATTGTATTATGGTAAATGCATGCATGTATCTTCTAGGCTTGAGATAGATCTGTTCACTTTTTAAACTATCTCATTTAGTCTCAGCCCTACAAAGAAAGTGGTTACAGACTGATTTTATAGATGAGGACAATAAGGCTCAGAAAGTGTAAGGGACTTTCCAAGACCACACAGATGGAGCAGTTGACCGAGCGAATATTCGATACCCATTTTTCTTGCCTCTAGTCTAGAACTCTGCCATGGGCCCACAATAGCCGATTAAAGTGTAAATAGAAAGAGTTCGTTTACCCCTTAACCCCTTGCCTTTTTCTATTTTCTCCTCCATCACTCCATGGAAATATCACCCCCCCCCATGTTGACCAGTTTTATAGACACTTGTTTGTCCACATCTTAGAAAGTCCTTTGCCATCCTCTATACTGTCAGTGCCACCCTCCTTGAAACTCCCTCTGTCTTCTCTGACACTGTGCTGTCTGGATTTTCCCTCTCAGTCCCTGCTCAGTCTCCTTCACCGGCACTTCCTCTTTAATTTTTTTTTTGAGCTTCATATCCAACCACTGACCAGACATATCTGTCTTAACTATACCTCTAAATATAAATATCTCAAAATTTAACCCATGTCAGACTGATCTAATCACCTGTCTTTCCCAGCCTGCTCTTCTCTTAAATACTGCATAGTGTGAGTTATATTAATTATATTACTATCTTTCTTTCTTCCTTATTTTTTTTTTGAGTCTTTCTTCCTTATTTTTTTAATTCACTCTTTTATTTATTTATTTTAGACCTCACCATGTGACATTCAGGATCTTTGTTCCCAGCCCAGGGATCAAATTCATGTGTTATATTGTTTCCCACACTTCTACCAACCCAAATTTTGCATTAGAAAAATGTATATAAAATATTTGTTAATGTTGCAGGCTTTATGGTCATATCTTTTTGCCTTTTCATGCTGTTCATGGTATTCTCAAGTCAAGAATGCTCAAGTGGTTTGCCATTACCTTCTCCAGGATGTCATATACCTTCCAGTTATATTCATTTACTGATGCTTTGGCTTATAGGACTAAAAGTTAGTAAACAAGACTGATATTTCCAGAAAACATTTTAATGGCATTGGAAGTTTTATAATTCTTTCCTGTTATTGCACTGTAAGTATTAAAGGGGGGTAGATTCTGCCACCACAAATATGCGTCTTTGGCATAAGGTTTATCGTGCCCCCTGCAGTGGAATCATGGAGTCCTAGCCACTGGACTGCCAGGGAATTCCCTGTATTAACTATCTTTCTTCTCAGTTACTCTTTTACCCTTCATTCAGTTCATGAGCACGTCTGTTAATTGGCCTCCTAAATATTCTTAAATGCTTCTCTCTTTTATCCTCCTGCCATTTCTTTATTTCAGTAAGTTGCTATTTTCCTTGAGTATTTGAACCTCGTCTGGTCACTAGCCTTCTTGTGCCACCCTCCATTTCTATTGTATAGAACAAAATTTGTTCATTGCAAGTCTGACCATGGCACTTGCCTTACTACAATTCTTTCGTAGTCTCCCACAGCCTTAATATAAATGCCAGCTTCTTTCCCATGGTGTAAGGGGATTTGGGGAACTGACTGCCGCCCAATACCCTGCTGCCTCCTGTCTTCACAACCGCTCACACCTGCTGAGCTCTGCTCTTACTGACTTGGCATTTCATTTGAAATAACTGTATTTTGTCACTTCTGTGCTTTTGTACTTGCTATTTGTTCCTGCAGTGCCATTCTAATCATCACATTATTCAAATACCAACTTTTGAAGATTTTATATTGAACAAAACAGATAGTGTTACTGTCCTGCAGTTTAGTAGGAGGTATAATCAGGTTGGTTATGTACCAAGTGTGTTAAGGACTCAAACAGGGCACATTAACCTAGACTTAGGCCTTCAGAAAAAACTACATGGAAGGAATAATAAGCCTTCAGAGAAAGCTGCATGGAAGGAATAATATCTGAACTGAATCCTGAAGAAAAAGTAGATGTTGACCAGACATAGAGAGTTTAGGGAAGAAGTATTCCAGGCAAAGGAAACAATACTCCTGGAGGCAAGGAACCAGGCACATAGCAAATTTAGAACACCACACGTGGTTTGTTGTGGGTGTAGGGTGAAGGAGGGGATGAGAATGGTCACAGTAAGGGATGAACCTGGATATGTAAGCAGAAGACAGACAATGAAGAGCCTTATTATATAAAGGATGACTTTATATTTTGTGGTCCAAACAAGGATTCTTTTGAAAGAGTAAAAAAGAAAAATTATCATTGCTGTTGAATATTATTCTGGGGCAACAGGCATTAAACTGGACTGCCCCAGGCAAACCAAGAGATAAGGTGGCCTTATTCATAAGCTCTTTTAAGGCATTTAAGTGGTACTATTTTGCAGGCTTAAAGAGTATGAACCGAGCAAGTTTAAGGTAGAATGGAATGATGACTTCAGATTGGGGAACAGTTTTGGGTTTCTGTAATTGTGTGTTGTTGTTGTTTTCCTTTTCTGGGTACCACTTCTGACTCCAAATGTGTGTGGTTTTTTTTTCCCCACGCATAAACCAATTCTCCTAACACCAGCTGGGCATCCAACAGTTATTCTAATGGTAACTATCCAGAGTTAGCAACAGATAAATCCCACAGGTTAAGGGCCTAGTCCTGTAATATTCTCCCCACTTCAGATGTTAAATGCAAGTCAGGCGCCTAGGCTACTGTTGGGGAGGAAAGAGTTCTTTCTACCCTCTTAGGTTCTGTGACTGGACTAAGAATTAAATTGAAATAAGACAGATTAACAGGAGGGGGGAGAAAATGGTTTTCATCCCTTATTTTTGCACCAGGAGTTTCACAAAAAAAAAGGAGATTCAAGAAGATGGCTAGATAATCGAGGATGGTATATCATCTTGACCTTCCCTGGTGGGTCAGCAGTAAAGAATCCTACTGCATGAATCCACCTGCAGTGTAGGAGACGTGGGTTCGATCCCTGAGTCAGGAAGATCCCCTGGAGAAGGAAATTGCAACCCACTCCAGTATTCTTATCCTGGAAATCCCATGGACAAAGGAGCCTGGTGGTCTACAGTCCACGGGGTTACAAAAAGAATTGGATGCAATTTATCGACTAAACAACAAAATATCATCTTAGGCTAAGTGAAAGAAAGGCATTCTGGGCTACTAGATGGTGGAGGCAAGTTATGGGAAGGTGAGGGGATAAAATATATGGTGAATAAGGGTTGTCTTGTTACACAGATAATAGTCAAGTGAAGAGAATAGTTTCTTCCTAAGAAGGAGAAAGCTTTTGCACTTGGAAATTTCCTTTACAAAAGGGAAATTTTTTACTTTTATTTTTAGGCAGTTGGGGGCTGTAAATAGCTTTCCCAGCATCTGCTCCTTCTCAAGTACCTTTAGCTCAAAATAATCCTCATGCCAGAGTGGCATGTTTTGGGGTGACATATCCCCATTACTACCCACGCTTGTGCCCAGCGACTACAAATTCCGGAGTTCTCATGACCACCCTCCTCCAAAGTTCAGTAATTTGCTAGAATGACTCACAGAACTCAGGAACACATTTCACTTATATTTACCTATCTATTATAAAAGATATAATTTAGGAGCAGCCAAATGGAAAAGATACAGGGCTAGGTATGCAGGTTGGGTGAGAAGCGAAGGTACACAGAACAGATATCCATGCCCTCTCAGGGTATGCCATCGCTTCAAAAGTCAGTGTGTTCAACCCAGTAGTTTTCTGAGTCTTATTGTTCAAGAATTTTTATAATTCAGTCTATAGCCCCCTCTCCCTCCCTAGAGGTAGGGGGAAGGGCCTGAAACTTCCCCCTCTCTAATGACATATTTGTCCTTTCTGGTGACCAGCCCCCATCCTGAAGCTCTTTAGGGACCTTAACCCAAAGTCACCTCATTAGCATTCTGGTTTCTAAATATATAAATCTGTAAATTGGTTACTGGGAATCTGTTCCCAGGGACCCATCCTCACTAGTTATACTAACAAAAATTTCCAGACTGATGAGCTATAATATACAATGTAGTATTTTTCTTTTTATATATATATATATATATGTTTTATATTTCACTTCCCAATGCCTAAATTGTGGATCTTTGGAAGTAGAGGTAGTTCTTAAAATATTTTCTATAACTCTCTATACTATATACAGTACTAGACTCATAATAAGTACTCTATAAGTCCCATTGATTTTAGTTGAATTTCTGTTGGTTCACAGATCATCCTAGCTGTAAATCCATGAACAGAAACAGGAAGAAACTAAAGTGATAAAAAAGATATCAAACTTGGGAAATTTTTTAACTTTTAAGTCAGATGTTTGTGAAGTGGCTTCAATTTTGGTGTATAATTTGTAATAATATTACTATATTTAAATGTGTATCTATATTTAAAGATATCTATATTTAAGTATAAGTAGAAATATATATTTCAGAGCAGAAAGAATTGATGATTTTAAAGTTTCATTTTACTTTGAATTTACCACTTAAATATTTCAGTCACTGTTATTTGTTTCAGTAACTAATCAGGATAACCATGTGGAAAAACATTTTGCTAGTATTAGAATACAATGGACATGAGTTTGAGCTAACTCCGGGAGATAGTGAAGGACAGCCTGGTGTGCTGCACAGTCCATGGGGTTGCAGAGTTGGACACAACTGAGTGACTGAGCAACAACAAGAATACAAAATTTTGAAATATATATACTATTAAAGAAACTATTTTTTGTCTTGTTTTTCTCTTTTAAAGATATTTATGACTTGGAACCTGCATCTGAATTAGGAGAAGATTTGTTGAAGCTTTACGTGAAGCACTGTTGCCCAGATATTGATATTTATGTTGATGGAAAAAGTTTTAAAGCTCACAGGTAAATAGGCATGTGATTAATTTGGTGTTCTGGTTGTGACAGAAAAGTCAAAGGGTAGCTGTCTTTTTCTAGCACAGTGGTTTTCAAGATCTGATTCACATAGGCTGCAGAGGTTCCATGGTGATGCCTCAGGAGGTCTCTGACGGGAAGAGTTTGGACCATAGACAGGATTTTCTATCTGCAGTTTCACACATGCACAGATGACCCACTGAGACATGTGCACGCGCTCAGCTAGAGCAGATCTGTGCTGTGCACTGGGCATGAACCTAAGATTTCATTAGAAGAAAATATACTGTTGCCTAAAATAGATTTGAAAGCCACTGAAAATGTCATTAAATGCAGTTTTTAATTTCATAGTCATTATGGTATTGAAAATGATTATTTCTACATGAATGACATGTATTTTCTCTGAATGCATTTTGGCTCAAAGTCTTTAATTCTAAATAGATGATTCTCATGAATAGCATTGATTAGGAGGTTTAATTTTTCAGTGTACTTTTTAAAAACCATTATTCTGCTGTAGAATTGGGTTGCTTAGGCATTCCAGGCTTTTAGAGTTTAAATTAAAGCCTGCTGCCTGTTTAGGTCAGGCTCTTTTTTTGTAAGTAACTAAAATCTGCTTAAAGAAAGAAAAGATGTTAATAAGAAATAGAGATTTTTTTTCTTGGAGCTCAAGGGGAAGAGGTACAGCTGGGCCTCACAACAGACTAGAATTGGAAAGCTGAGGAACCCAGAGTTATCCTCCCTGCCTGTTTGTGTTTCAAATAGAATGTTAAGTTATTCTGGTACTGCGGAAGAGGAAGAAACGGACTATTTTTGCAGAAGCTAGAAGCAGTCTTGTAGGTTCAAGGGTGCACAGCCCTTAATAAAGTTAGCAGTGGGTTTAGATTACAGAAATCCAAGCCAAACAGTAGCAATGTTTTGTATTCTCATACTGGTTTTGCTACTTAATTGACTGAAGTACATTGCTGAACTCTTAAGACTGCCAGTTTCCATCAGACTGCCATTCAGAATTTGGACTTTTCTTCCTGAGAATATATGTTTTGTAAATATATATACACATTTTCCTATTTTTTATGAAATCCCCATTATGTATAGTAAAATACAGAGTGTGATAGAGATTTATTTATATATTTTCCATATTATGGATCTATATTTTCCATATTTGGGAATATAAGTATACATATTCCCAAATGGTATGTGTGCATGCCTTTCTTTCTTCTTGGTTAGTGTGGGGGGACAACACAATTTTCCTTTTAAAATTAATTCACTTTGAGTTTATTTTATGGCAGATCTTTCTTGAAACTTCTGGAGCCCTAGGACTGTTGTTGTCATACGGGGAAAGCAGGACTCTGACCATTCGCAGTGTGTTTCCCAACAGTGTCTGTATTTGGCTTCTTCCTGTGTACTGCCTGACACTGGGCTGTTTTATGAGCTGGATCTAGAGTATTAGCTTTGTATTTTAGGACAGCTCTTGCTACCTTTCTGGCTTATTTTGTTCACCTAGCGATAAAAAAGAAATTTATATTAACTAGAAAGGCGATTTCCTGAGGATAGGTTTCAAGAAGATCTGGCTCAAGTTTTCTTACTTTGTTGGTACCCTTATATGAATTAAAGTGGCAGATTCTAAATCCCAAGGTTACCTTCCTATTCCAAACTTGAACGTTTTTCTGTTTGTACCTACAATTTTATTATTCAGTTCAAAGATTATTATGTCAATAGTTCAGAAAACACAGGCATACTTCGTTTTCCTTTATTGCACTTTGCAGATAATTGCATTTTTTACGGCTTGAAGATATGTGGCACGTCTGCATCAAGCAAGGCTGTCAGCACTATTTCCCCAACAGCATTGGCTCACTTCATGACTCTTGTGTCACCATTTTAGTAATTCTCACAACATTTCAGACTTTTGCTTGATCCACAGCCCAATACCTGGAGTCCTTTATTTGCTGCAAGATGATCTGATGCCAGTCACTTGCTTGTGGTGGCACAACTAAGCTGAAGAAGTCTTTTATAACTGGGTAATTAAGAGTGTGTGGACTGTGTTGGAACCTGTCTGCCTGGGTTTGAATTCCAGCTTCACCATCTTTAGCTGTATGAGTTTGGGGAAGTTATTTAATAATTCTGTGTTTTAGCATCCTCATCAAAGATGGAGATTATAATAGTACCCATCTTAGAGAGTTATTACTAGGTTTCCCTGGTGGCTCAGTGGTAAAGAATCTGCCTGCCAATGCAGGAGACTCAGGTTCGATCTCTGGATCAGAAAGATCCCCTAGAGAAGGAAATGGCAACCCACTCTAGTATTCTTGCTTGGGACATCCCATGGACAGAGGACCCTGGTGGGCTACAGTCCATGGGGTCACAAAAGAGTTGGGCATGACTTAGCAACTAAACAACAACAGCATATAGGGTTATTATGGTGATTAAATTACTAAAAGTGTTTAAAGTACTTTGAACAATGCCTGGCACGTAGTAAGTACCATGTAAGTGTTTGCTGTCATCATCCAGGTAATAGGCCTTTGAAAAGAGCTTTTGTGTAGATGGTAGCAACAGCTTGAGTGTCCTTTATTTATGTGGGACATGCAGAGAAAGGTGATTTGAATCACTTGCATTTCTCCCCAATCCAAGGGGCAAAGGGGTAGCAGTAGGCTTCCTACACTGTTCTCTCTACACAGGCCTTACCCTCACCACAGTGTTACTTCTCCACCCTTCCCCTGTCTTAGTTCTTGCTCCTCAAAGGAGATGAGAGCTTTTTCTCCTGCTCAAAGGAGAAAAAGAGAGCTCTGTTTATTTGCCGGCAGAGAGGTTATAGTAAAAGGACTCATTAGAGTTCATGGATTCCCATTTGTTAGTTACTGCTTTTCTGAGTGTTGCTTCCTGGAGTACTATAACACATCACTCCTGTTGTGGATCTCTGTAACATCACTTTTCTGCCTGAATTGCTCTCAGTCCCCAGATGAATACCACCTGTGTATACTCTCTACTTGTGTTTCCTCCTGTCATTTTTAGCCTACCTCAAGGTATCTACCTGATCTCTCATTTTATAGTGTTAATTATTATCCTGTTATTTTCTTAATGAAATTTAATCTATGTTTTTAAACTAATTTATTTGTTGTGCTTCAGTATTCCATAATTAAGATTCTCTCATATTACTTTATTGAAAAAGCAGGGCAGTGATTCCTAATTTTAGCTTTCTAACACTTAAGATCCTATATCCCTTCCAAATACCTTTTTTATTTTTTTCTTCAGTGCCTGATATTGTACCATCAGACTTTCATTTATGGGGTTAAGATGCTGTCAAATTTCCCTTTAAAATGTAGATTCTCTAGGGCTTCTCTGGTGGGTCAGTGTTGAAGGCTCCACCTGCCAGTGCAGGGGACACAGGTTCGATCCTTGGTCCAGGAAGATCCCACATGCCATGGAGCAGCTGAGCCCATACACCACAATTGTTGAACTTGTGCTCTAGTGCCTGGAGCCGCAACTACTGAAATCCTTGTGTCCGAGAGCCCATGCTCCACAAGAGAAGCCACCACAATGAGAAGCCAGCACACTGCAAGTGGAGAGTAGCCTGCTCACCACACCTAGAGAAAAGCCTGTGCAGCAACTAAGACCTAAGGACAGCCAAAAGTAAATAAAATTTTTTTTTATTGTTTTTAATGCAGATTGTCTGAAACTACAATTTAATAAGTCAGCACTGACTTAGGAGATCAGTGTCCTTCAGTCAGTTCTGGACACTAGCGTCACTCAGTCGTGTCTGACTTTTTGCAACCCCATGGACTATAGCATGCCAGGCTTCTCTGTCCATCGTAACTCCCAGAGCTTCCTCAGGCTCATGTCCATTGAGTCGGTGATGCCATCCAACCACCTCAATAGCTGTCATCTCCTTCTCCTGCCTTCAGTCTTTCCCAGCATCAGGGTCTTTTCCAGTGAGTCAGTTCTTCACATCAGGTGGCTAAATTATTGGAGTTTCAGCTTCAACATCAGTCCTTCCAATGAATATTCAGGACTGATTTCCTTTAGGATTGACTGGTCTGATCTCCTTGCAGTCCAAGGGAATCTCAAGAGTCTTCTCAAACACTACTGTTCAAAAGCATCAATTCTTTGGCACTCAGCTTTCTTTATAGTCCAACTCTCACATCCATACATGAGTACTGGAAAAACCATAGCTTTGACTAGACAGACCTTTGTTGGCAAAGTAATGTCTCTGCTTTTTAATAAGGTTGGTCATAGCTTTTTTTCCAAGGAGCAAGCGTCTTTTAATTTCATGGCTGCAGTCACCATCTGCAGTGATTTTGGAGCCCAAGAAAATAAAGTTTGTCACTGTTGCCATTATTTCTCCATCTATTTGCCATGAAGTGATGGGACCAGATGCCATGATCTTGGGTTTTTGAATGTTGAGTTTTAAGCCAGCCTTTTCACTCTCCTCTTTCACTTTCATCAAGAGGCTCTTTAGTTCCTCTTCACTTTCTGCCATAAGGGTTGTGTCATCTGCATATCTGAAGTTATTGATATTTCTCCCAGCAATCTTGATTCTAGCTTGTGCTTCATCCAACCTGGCATTTCACATGATGTACTCTGCATATAAGTTAAATAAGCAGGGTGACAGTATACATCCTTGACATACTCCTTTCCGAATTTGGAACCAGTCTGTTGTTTCATGTCCATTTCTAACTGTTGCTTCTTGACCTGCATACAGATTTCTCAGGAGGCAGGCCAGATGGTCTGGTATTCCCATCTCTTGAAGAGTTTTCCACAGTTTGTTGTGATCCACACAGTCAAAGACTTTGGTGTAATCAATAAAGCAGAAGTAGATGTTTTTCTGGAAGACTTTGGTGTAATCAATAAAGCAGAAGTAGATGTTTTTCTGGAACTCTTGTTTTTTCAGTGATCCAACAGATGTTGGAAATATCTGGTTCCTCTGCCTTTTCTAATTCCATCTTGAACATCTGGAAGTTCACAATTCATATACTGTTGAAACCTGGCTTGGAGAATTTTGAGCA